TACACTTAGTACATTTGTTTCAAAATACATGTTTTCTGCACAGAAAATCCATGCATACATTGGTACGAATGCATTTTCCTCCCACCCATGAAATTCTGAAGTTTGAATAATACTCAGAACTTGCACAGAGGTCCTCATGGGCGATGGAGAAAATAGGTTAAATTATTCACTCATGCACTTCCATCTCTGCTCAAAACATTGTTGAGATAGACAGTTCAAGATTGTGATCCTAACTGCATGTTTTCAAGACTGTAAGAGTGTCTGACATGTAGAATGAATGCAGTTTGACACAACTCTATGCTATGGAATCCTGGGAATTGTAGTTTTACATGGTCTTTAGTGTTATTTCCCAAAGTGTGTTGGTGCCTGACCAAACTACAACTTCCTGGATACCAAAACCTTAAGCCATGGCAGCAAAAGTGGTATCAAACTGCATTCATTCTACATGTATTGTATCTTGCCATTTCTCTCCAGCTTTTTCTTGGAAGTGTATTCCAAACTCAGAATGGGAAGGGCCAATGCACACACAAATGAGAACATGACAAGGGGAAGAACAAAGTATGCTGCACACCCTTGCCCCATACTTCATATTTTGAGGACCCAGTAAGATGTTTATATAGCACTTCATTCATTCCATTGGGCACAGCTGAACCTGAGGTCCTTTCAGGTCACAAACTCAGTCACGGAACCAGATTGGTGAATCTGAAAATGCGTTCATGCTAGAGCAGGCCACTCCTTCTTGTTTGAGAAGGGTTCATGTGGCATTTCCTACCCACAACATTATCACATTCCACCCACTGGTCAATTCCTCTCTGTTCTACATTTCCATTTTTAAGGTAGCCATATAATAATAGAATCCTAGAGTTGGAAAAGACCTTGTAGGCCAACCCCATTGTGCCAAAAAAGCAGAAAAATGGCATTCAAATCACTCCCGATAGATGGCCATCCAACCTCTGCTTAAAAGTCTCCAAAGAAGGAGCCTCCAACCACACTCCTGGGCAGAGAGTTCCACTGCTGAACAACTCTCACAATTAGGAAGTTCTTCCTCATGTTCAGGTGGAATCTCCTTTCCTGTAGTTTGAAGCCATTGTTCCATTTTGTCCTAGTCTCCAGGGCAGCAGAAAACAAACTTGCTCCCTCCTCGCTATGACTTCCCCTCACCTCTTGATCCATGGCCCTCACCATGTCTTCTCTCAACCTTCTCATTTACAAGCTAAACATGCCCAGTTCTTTAAGTCACTCCTCATAGGGCTTGTTCTCCAGACCCTTGATCATTTGAGTCACTCTCCTTTGGACACATTCCAGCTTAGATCCAACATCTCCCTGGCATTGTGGTTCTACCTCTTTGTGTGTCACGCAAGTCAAATGTTCCCACCTCAACATCTTTAAACTTACTCGCCCAACAATGCAGAGTACTCACATCAACACAATCACAATAAACAGCTTGCATTCTATGATGAATCTCCTTTGGGGTGACACCTTCTGCTGTCAAGAATTCAATGACTGCATGTTACTTAAGTCACACCGACCAACCGTCTGCATAGGGTTCCATACTTCACACTTTAAAACACAACCGTTGAATGCTAAGGCTTCCCATCAAAATGGAACTGTAGAGGAGAGTCTACTGAACAAGCCAGTACCTGCCGCATATCAATACTGCCATCTGTTGAGGAGTTACGAAGATGGAGGCATTATTTTTCATTCAACCCGCATATGTCTGAATCTGCTCCAGGTTTTTCTTCACTTTAAAGGACCTTTCCAAGGTGCTGATCTCAAATACGTTTCAGCACCTGGGATAATTCCTTTCAAGTTTGGTCTTCTTGCTGGTCTTGCTATGTCCAAAGATTCTTTGTCATACCTATGTACCGGAAAGGGTGCGTCTACATGGAGAATTAATGCAGATTGGCATCACTTTCACTGCCATGGATCAATGCTATCAAATCCTCAGAGGTGTAGCTGGTGATGGCCAAAGATCTTGGAATAGGCAGTTAAAGACCTTGCAGAACTAGGATGCCATGCTTGCACTACAGCTCCCAAGATGCCATAGTATTGAGCCGTGGCAATTCAAGTGGTGTTAAACTGCATTAATTCTACAGTATAGATGCACCAAAGTTCCATTCATTGAGCCCATATTAAAAGCCCATGCTTTGTCCATGCAGAAGTAAGTGGCACCAATATCAATGTGAGTTGTTTGGCCATAAAGATGCTTTGAGAATTCAGCCCTCCATCGTTCGTTCTTTCTTGGGTCTCTGCAAATGGGCAATGAGGTCACAGAATGTTTTGGAAAAGGAGAAGAGTCAAGGAAGATATGTAAAGAATCTCAAGGAAAACTTTGAGGATTGGTAGTATCAGAAAAATCGCTTAGAGTGCATCTATAACGTAAAATTAATGCAGTTTGACACTACTTTAATTGCCATGGTTTAATGCTATGTTATCATAGGAGTTGTAGGTTGTTGTAGGTTTTTTCGGGCTATACGGCCATGTTCTAGAGGCATTCTCTCCTGACGTTTCGCCTGCATCTATGGCAAGCATCCTCAGAGGTAGTGAGGTCGGTTGGAACTAGGAAAATGGGTTTATATGTCTGTGGAATGACCAGGTTGGGAAAAAGAACTCTTGTCTGTTGGAGCTAGGTGTGAATGTTTCAACTGACCACCTTGATTAGCAGTTGTTGGTGGAATGTTTCAACTCACCACCTTGATTAGCATATAATTGCCTGACAGTGCCTAGAGCAAACTTTCGTTGAGAGGTGATTAGATGTCCCTGATTATTTTACCTCTGCTGTTTTGCTGTTTTAGTTTTAGAGTTTTTTAATACTGGTAGCCAGATTTTGTTCATTTTCATGGTTTCCTCCTTTCTGTTGAAATTGTCCACATGCTTGTGGATTTCAGTGGCTTCTCTGTGTGGTCTGACATGGTGGTTGTTGGAGTGGTCCAGCATTTCTGTGTTCTCAAATAATATGCTGTGTCCAGGCTGGTTCATCAGGTGCTCTGCTATGGCTGACTTCTCTGGTTGTCTGCAGGTGCCTTTCATATTTCGCACAGATAATATAACCGCATTTCCTAGTTCCACATGGCCTCACTACTTTCTGAAGGATGTTGGCCAAGATATGGGCAGGTGAATACGTCAGGAGAGGATAATTTCCTACTGCCTCTAGTTAGAGCATGGCCATCATAGCCTGCGAAAAGAAAACGTACAATAAATCGAACCAGTGATGGTCCGCCATGGCGGGGTATAAATAAAGTTTATTATTTATTATTATTCTATATATCTTGGGGCACGTGGTTGCGCAGCGGGTTAACCCACTGAGCTGCTGAACTTGCTGACCAAAAGGTTGGCGATTCAAATCCTGGGATTGGAGTGAACTCCCATTGTTAGGCCCAGTTTCTGCCAACCTAGTAGTTCAAAAAGATGCAAATGTGAGTTGATCAATAGGTACCGCTTCTGTGGGAATGCTCAATGCAGTCATGCTGGCCACATGACCTTGGAGGTGTCTACGGAGAACGCTGGCTCTTTGGCATAGAAATGAAGATGAGCATCACCCCCCCAGAGTCAGACATGACTAGACTTAATGTCAGGGGAAACCTTTACCTTTACCTCATGCTATGGTGTCATAGGAGTTGTAGTTTCCTAAATTTCTTTGCCTTCTCTGCCAAGGAGTGCTGGTACCTCACCAAACTATAACTCCCAGGTTTCCATGGCAGCTAAAGTAGTGTCAAACTGCAGCCGTTCTACAGTATAGTTTCACCCCTACACTGCAATTGTCTCCCATTTCCTGAGAGTAAACCCTGTCATGCTAAATGAGTTCCTTAATATGTCGAAGAAGTAAGATTGTGCCATTTATTCTGTTCACAGTTTGAGAATGAGGCAAATGCTCATTTTTTGCTTCTATAGGCAATTCTCCTGATTTAATGTATTGTCGAAGGCTTTCATGGCCGGAATCACTAGGTTGTTGTGAGTTTTTCGAACTGTATGGCCATGTTCTAGAAGCATTCCCTCCTGACGTTTCACCTGCATCTATGGCAAGCATCTTCAGAGGTTGTGAGGTCTGTTGGAAACTAGAAAATTGGGTATATATATATCTGTGGAATGTCCTGGGTGGGAGAATATTGTCTGTTCTTATGAGAAGACAGCTGAGTGAAGACCTGATGGAGTTCCAGAGAACCAACCTGGACACATCATATTATTTGCAAACACAGAAATGCTGGATCACTCTCACAACCACCATGTCAGACTACACAGAGAACCCATTGAAATCCTCAAGCATGTGGACAATTTCAACAGAAAGGAGAAAACCATAAAAATGAACAAAATCTGGCTGCCAGTATTTTTTTTTTAAAAAAACACCAGAATCAAGTCAGTAAATAAAGAACAACATTCAAACACAGGGGAACTCCAGACAAAAAACAATCAGGGACAACCAATCACCTCTAAACAAAGGATTCCCCCAGGCAGTAAGAAGTCACAGCTTGAAACTGCCAGGCCATTAAATGCTAATCAAGGTGGCCAATTGAATCATTCACACCTAGCTCCAACAGACAAGTGTTCTTTCTCCCACCCTGGACATCATTTGGTGGCACAGTGGATTAAACCCCTGTGCTGACAGGACTGAAGACCGACAGGTCACAGGTTCGAATCCAGGGAGAGGCAGATCCAGGGAGAGCTCCCTCTATCAGCTCCAGCTCCTCATGCGGGGACATAAGAGAAGCCTCCCACAAAGATGATAAAAACATCAAAATCATCTGGGCATCCCCTGGGCAACGTCCTTGCAGATGGCCAATTCTCTCACACCAGAAGYGACTTGCAGTTTCTCAAGTCATTCCTGACAYGACAAAAAAAAAGAAAAAAAAAAAAAGGCCATACAGCCTGGGAAACTTACAACAACCCAATCTCCTGATTTAGCTTGCTTTCCCTCCTTATTCACGGAAAGAGAAGACTAAAAGGCACTCAAGCATGTCAAGAGAGTCCAGAGAGATAAAGAGAGAAGGTGACAAGTGGGCGAAAAGGAGATACGCCTTCCAAAAGCTTCCCTTCAGCTTAATTTTGCAACTGTTGGAGAGSGAAGGGGAGAACGATGCTGGCAATGCCCAAGGCAGGCAAGCAGGCASGCAGCCTTCTGGATCACTCTTTTCTTTAAATGCCTTTAAGAACAACAAAACAGCAGCAAAGATCAGAGTTTGCAAAGGAAGAGAAAGGAGTGGTTGCTGTTAGGGGGAGGGAAGCTGGTGAAGKAGGAAAGGAAAGGGGGGGGGGTGGGTTAAGAAATTGGCAGGCAACRGAGAACGGTGCCTTACATCAGTCTAACAGTCAGCATCCCGATGTTCTTTCCTCTTCCCTCCTCCAGACCACCCAAAGCCCTATAAATAATCGACTCTCCTCGTTGCCTCTTCAGACTCCTTCCTTCCAGCGAGGAAGCCTGTTGAATTGGCAAAGGGTTGGAGAGGCAGAGGGCAGAAGGAGGCTGAAGAAAGAAGCAGGGTTGAGGAAGAAGGAGAAGAAGACAAGGTAGCCGAGATGGCCAGCGAATTCAAGAAGAAGATGTTCTGGCGGGCCGTGGTGGCCGAGTTCTTCGCCATGAGCCTCTTCATCTTCATCAGCATCGGGGCAGCCTTGGGGTTCCAGTTCCCCGTGTCGGAGAACAAGACCACCACGCCGGTGCAGGACAACGTGAAGGTCTCCTTGGCCTTCGGGATCTCCATCGCCACCATGGCCCAGAGCGTGGGCCACATCAGCGGAGCCCACTTGAACCCGGCTGTCACCTTGGGCCTCCTGCTCAGTTGTCAGATCAGCATCTTGCGGGCCGTCATGTACATTATTGCCCAGTGCCTCGGAGCCGTGGTGGCCACCGCCATTCTTTCGGGCATCACTTCATCGCTGCCAGGCAACTCCCTTGGGCTCAACCAGGTAAGTTTATCTACTCTTTCCTTCATCACAAAAAAGTTGGATAACTATCAACTATAGCAGTGTTTCTCAACCTGCGGATTGGGACCCCTGGGGAGGGTCATGAGGAGAGGGTTCACCAAAGACCAACAGTATTTTCTGTTGGTCATTGGGGTTCAGAATGCTCTTTGATTGTAGGTGAACTATAAATCCCAGCAACTGCAACTCCCAAATGTCAAACTCTATTTTCCCCAAACTCCACCAGTGTTCACATTTGGGTATATTGAGTATTTGTGCCAAGTTTGGTCCAGATCCATCATTGTTTGGAAACACTGTATTTTCTGTTGGTCATTGCGGTTCAGAATGCTCTTTGAATGTAGGTGAACTATAAATCACAGCAATGACAACTCCCAAATGTCAAACTCTATTTCCCACAAACTCTACCAGTGTTCACATTTGGGTATATTGAGTATTTGTGACAAGTTTGGTCCAGATCTATCATTGTTTGAGTCCACAGTGCAATCTGGATGTAGGTGAACCACAACTTCAAAACTCTTCCAGTATTTTCTGTTGGTTATGGGAGTTCTGTGTGGGAAGTTTTGCCTAATTCTATCGTTGGTAGGGTTTAGAATGCTCTTTGATTGTAGGTGAACTATAAATCCCAGCAACTACAACTCCCAAATGTCAAGATCTATTTTCCCCAATCTCCACCAATGTTCACACTTGGGCATATTGAGTATTTGTGCCAAGTTTGGTCCAGATCTATCATTGTTTGAGTCTACAGTGCAACCTGGATGTAAGTGAACTACAACTCCAAAACTCAATGTCAATGCCCACCAAACTCTTCCAGTATTTTCTGTTGGTTATGAGGGTTCTGTGTGGGAAGTTTGGCCCAATTCTATCGTTGGTGGGGTTCAGAATGCTCTTTGTAGGTGAACTATAAATACCAGCAACTACAACTCCCAAATGTCAAGGTCTGTTTCCCCCAAACTTCACCAGTGTCCACATTTGGGCATATTGAGTATCTATGCCAAGTTTGGTCCAGATCCATCATTGTTTGAGTCCACAGTGCAATCTGGATATAGGTGAACTACAACTCCACAACCAAAGGTCAATGCCCAGGAGACCCTTTCAGTATTTTCAGTGAGTCACGGGAGTTCTGTGTGCCAAGTTTGGTTCAATTCCAACATTGGTGGAGTTCAGAATGCTCGTGATTGTAGGTGAACTATAAATCCCAGCAACTGCAACTCCCAAATAACAAAATCAATCCCCCCACTGAACCCCACTAGTATTCAAATTTAGTTAGTGACGGCAGTTCTGTGTGCCAAGTTTGGTTCAATTCCAACATTGGTGGAGTTCAGAATGCTCTTTGATTGTAGGTGAACTATAAATCCCAGCAACCACAACTCCCAAATAACAAAATCAATCCCCCCACGGAACCCCACTAGTATTCAATTTGGACATATTGGGTATTTGTGCCAAATTTGGTCCAGTGAATGAAAAGACATCCTGCATATCTGATATTTACATTGAGATTCATATCAGTAGCAAAATTACAGTTGTGAAGTAGCAATGAAAATAATGTTATGGTTGGGGGTCACCACAACATGAGGAACTGTATGAAGGGGTCACAGCATTAGGAAGTTTGAGAGCCTCCAAACATGATGAAGCTGTTAATGGAGATCATCTTCTCCAATTAACCTGGGGCATGACTTTCAGCTCATTGAGGTGGAAAATCCATCCTTTGACCATTCAATATCATTAAAATTAACTCCAAAGGAAGAGGTGAGAAGCTCTGTGCTCTCGTTAAGCCAAGGCAAAAAGAGATGCACAAGTTGGAAAGAGGCTGTATTGATGTTTTCTTCTCCAATCAGGCTTCTGTGCTTTTAATGATGCTTTATCATTAGGTGAAGGTGCCAAAGATACTAGGGCTTTAGGGATCTTTTCATCGATTTCTAGAAGGAGGGATTTGGGAAATTATTTCTTCTAATTTAGGAATGACAAATGTTTACAAGCAGAGGAGCCTTGAACCCTTTTGCAGCTGGTCACTCCAACTAGAATTTCACAATAGCCCCTTTCAGATAAAAGTTGGCAACCGTACTAAAATTATTTTCTCTGTGTTGTCGCTTGTGTTAGCAAAGCTGGAATGTGTCCAGAGGAGGGCGACTTAAATGATCAAGGGTCGGGAGAACAAGCCCTATGAGGAGCGGCTTAAGGAGCTGGGCATGTTTAGCCTGAAGAAGAGAAGGCTGAGAGGGGTTATGATAGCCATGTATAAATATGTGAGAGGAAGCCACAGGGAGGAGGGAGCAAGCTTGTTTACTGCTTCCATGGAGATTAGGACAAGGAGCAATGGCTTCAAACTACAAGAGAGGAGATTCCATCTGAACATGAGGAAGAACTTCCTGACTGCGAGAGCCGTTCAGCAGTGGAACTCTCTGCCCCAGAGTGTGGTGGAGACTCCTTCTTTGGAAGCTTTTAAACAGAGGCTGGATGGCCATCTGTCAGGGGTGATTTGAATGCAATATTCCTGCTTCTTGGCAGGGGGTTGGACTGGATGGTGTCTTCCAACTCTTTGATTCTATGATTCTATGAAAGGGAAGGTAAAGGTAAAGGTTTTCCCCTGATATTACGTCTAGTCGTGTCCGACTCTGGGGGGTGGTGCTCATCTCCCTTTCTCAGCCGAAGAGCCAGTGTTGTCCATAGACACCTCCAAGATCATGTGGCCAGCATGACTGCACGGAGCACCGTTAGCAAAGGGTAGACATCAGCTTTATAACAGATGCCAAAATATCAGGGAGCCTTGTGAAAAGACATTAGAGATCATCGGGGGGAATTTCCATATTTTAAATATCTTGAGTGGTAAATAGTTGTCCAACAGGCTGAAATTGAACAGGCAACGATTTCGCCTTTGTGAGATCAAGGAAGGGACTTCACCTGTTGACAGGGACGGCTCAACCCATTACGCAAAGTTAGCATTTGCAGTATAGTTGATTTTGCCCAGGGGCGCTCTTGAGGCGCTCTTGGGGGAAAATAGACCTTGACGTATGCAAGTTGTAGTTACTGGGATGTGTAGTTCACCTAAAATCAAAGAGCATTCCGAACTCCACCAATGATGGAATTGAAGCAAATATGGCACACAGAACTCCCACGATGAACAGAAAATATATATCAATGATTGGTTGGAGAGGGGGAGCGCCAAAATACTGTTTGCTTACCGTTGAAAATTACCTAGAGCCACCTCTGCCTCTTTATTTCCTTCCTGTTCCAAAGTTTACAAAGGGACAAGATCAACGTGAAGGGATTAATAATTATCGTACAGCTTTTGACAGAATCGATTCATGACTTAGAATCATAGAATCATAGAATCAAAGAGTTGGAAGAGACCTCATGGGCCATCCGGTCCAACCCCATTCTGCCAAGAAGCAGGAATATTGCATTCAAATCACCCCTGACAGATGGCCATCCCAGCCTCTGCTTAAAAGCTTCCAAAGAAGGAGCCTCCACCACACTCCGGGGCAGAGAGTTCCACTGCTGAATGGCTCTCACAGTCAGGAAGTTCTTCCTAATGTTCAGATGGAATCTCCTCTCTTGTAGTTTGAAGCCATTGTTCCGCGTCCTAGTCTCCAGGGAAGCAGAAAACAAGCTTGCTCCCTCCTCCCTGTGGCTTCCTCTCACATATTTATACATGGCTATCATATCTCCTCTCAGCCTTCTCTTCTTCAGGCTAAACATGCCCAGTTCCCTAACTTTGATGGAACTAAATCTAGAAAGACGGAAAGTCTAATGCAGTGTTTCTCAAGCTGAGGGTCGGGACACTTGGAGGCCGTTGCAAGGGGGATGTCAGAGGGGTTGCTAAAGACCATCAGAAAACACAGTATTTTCTGTTAGTTATGAGGGTTCTGTGTGGAAGTTTGGTTAAGTTCCATTGTTGGTGGTGTTCAGAGTGCTCTTTGATTGTAGGTGAACTATAAATCCCAGCAGCTACAACTCCCAAATGACAAAATCAATCCTCCCCTCAACCCCACCAGTATTCAAATTTGGGCATATCGGGTATTTGTGCCAAATTTGGTCCAGTGAATGAAAAGACATCCTGCATATCAGATATTTACATTACGATTCATAACAGTAGCAAAATTAGTTATGAAGTAGCAACAAAAATAATGTTATGGTTGAGGGTCACCACAACACGAGGACGTGTATTAAGGGGTCACAGCATTAGGAAGGTTGAGAAACACTTGCCTAATGGCCTTGGTGGGAAACCCCATCCATCTTTTAAGGGTTTCGTATTTAGTTGTTTAGTCTTGCGTAAGCTCTCTTGTATTCGGTGAAAACTTGGGTCATAACAAATTTGTTTTTAAAGTGCTGCATGACTCTTTCTTGGTTTCAGACACTGGGGTCCATTCCCATCAGTTCAAGCCACATGTGAACTGGAGTTATCAGTAGCTTGCAGCACTGTAGCTGCTCCTGTTTTTCAGTCTGCCACACTGGAGACAAATGCTAAATCCCCAAAGCCCTTCCAGTACCAGTTTTTGGGGTGTATCTAGACTGCAAAATTATGAGATTATGGGATGTGTCGTTTCCTACAGTGCTAAGACTCTGCAATACTATGGCTCTCATACTGTATTTACAGAATGTAGTCTGAGTGCTCTAATGCTAAAGTTTAGGGCAGGTATGAAAGTCCAAAACAGCCCTCTAGGTGTTTTGGACTTCAACTCCCACAATTCCTAACAGCCTAATCAGGCATGTAGCCGGGGGGGGGGGGGGGGCTCGGGGGGCTTCAGCCCCCCCGAAATTCTCATGGTGGTTCGCGAAAAGGCCTTACTGGTGCATTATTTAAACTGTTATGTTTATTCATATCATGATCTGATCACCATACTCAATATATCCCATATGCATGGGGGTATTGGGGTAATGATACAAAAGGTTTGCTAGGCTAGACCCTCTTTCACTCAGACTCAGCCCCCCCCCCGAAACTCAGCCCCCCCTGAAACCCCCCCTGAAAATTTTTTAGCCCCCCCAAA